TACACCGCGATGGGCCTCAAATATGGCCGACTTAAATTCCGGTTTATCAGTGTCGTTCTAATTTTATTTAAAAAATGTAAAACTATGATGTAGGGTAGACGTGGGGGTAGACTTAATAATTTGTTGTTTTATTTTACGTTGTGAATAAATGTTGGTAGTTATTAAAATTGTTATAAAAATATATAATTCTAATAAAAATAGATAAGTTATAATAAGTATTTATTAACACAAACATCCGATACGCTACTGAAGCAGGTAAGTCAAATTAACGTATCTAAATTCTTTGACATCTAATCTTTGACAAGTAATAAATAAAAGCTAAAATGCAAGAAAAATATATAATTTAGTTAATTTAAGTGAATTTCATAAATGATCGGTTTACTACACGTATGTATATTATACAGTCACTTACTAGCGAAAAGTTGTTCCATTATTTCACTCAATTTTGCCGAGATCTACCGCACGCTACACAACCAACTATTTTAGAATCTTTTTCGATAAATCGCGATAGTGTCACTGTTAATTTAAGTTCTGCCACAATTTCCATCTAGATTTACTACCTTTATACAACTATCAGTAGTAGAATAAATAATAAATAACATAAAATAAGCTCCGTAAAGACTGACAAATCCACAAAATTTCAAATCAAATTCAAATGTGTCAAATGAATCGTCAAACAGAACTGTCAAGGATCCCCACCCTAGAGTGCTTTTATGGTGCTTTTTCCGCCCACCATGCATGAATACATGGATAGCATTATGCTCCTTCCTTAGTCTTCTTATTCAAAGGTTTTTATTTTATTTGTCTCACATTTGAACTGTCAAATTTGACAGCTGTCGTTTTTTTAAGTTCTCCTTTTTTATGAAAATCGATACACATATTATTAGGATGCCCATAGGTAGTTATTGAAGAAAAAGAATTGAGTTTAAGTGTATGGCACTGAGAAACCAGCATAACTTAAAAAGTAAAAAATAAATTTAAGAAAAAAAACTTGTTAAAAACAAGCTTTTATTTAAATACATTAAAAAGAAAAAATAAACTTTTTCTTTAAAACTTTTATTATGTCATTACACAATTTTATATTATATAAAAGCTTAGCGACCAGATTAGCGACAAGCGATTTGAGTGTACAGTTGCACTCATAAAAATCTGGTACAACTTTATCTTGTAATTCGTCTAATTCCAATATCTTGTAAACCTGTCATTATTCCCATCCAGGATAAATTCATCCAGTTTAGAAGAACATTTAAAAACTTTGTGTGCGAATATTACATACGTGTACTGAAAATTGCCAAAATGATCTGGCAAACATCTTATTAAAAACGGCAGACCTTATAAAAAAAACGAGACCTCTTTTCTTTTCTCTCTGAATTGTCATGAGCTATCCATAAAAATTAAAAATAGATACGGATAATCAGAAAAACAGTAATTTAGAAATTAATCTTGTTTGTCATTTTGCAGGATACCTAATAATAAAAATTACTTTGAATGCCGTAGACAATGACTGAGTATTAAAACTAAAAGAATTTCGGACTTCCATTATACTACTAAACTACAAAAACCAAAAATATCACACAATAAACAAAAATAAAACAAAATATATCACTCAAGAAAAAAATAAAATAAATTAAGCGGCACGCTACTGACTCAAAGCTGCCGTAACTGTACGTTGTCGATGACAAAGACTACGACTGACTACGACACTGGTTAATTTCTGTCGCTGGCACCATGCTGGCACTGCTGGCACCCATAATGGCGGCGTGCGCAAGGGTATGCGCGTAGCGTTCCCGCCTAAGCGAGTTGGCCTGCCGTGTGATTTATATGCCGTGCCCACAGAATATACTAACGAAAAAGAAGCCCAAGTTCCTTGTAATAAATCGGTTCCATTTTCGTAACGCCATCTCTCGACATAGCTGACATTATAGGTTAGCCAAAGGGGTGCGGGGCCGGGGGGAATTGTAAAATACACTTTTTTATTTTAATTTATTTTTATTCGCTATTTGCAATTTTATTTTTAAAACATATTATGTGAAACAATCACATAATATGTCTTAAAAATAAAATTACAAACGGAAACAAAAGGAATTAAATAATCTGAAAATCTACAAAGTTTATTGATAAAAAAGTTAGGCTATGCAAATTGATAAGTATATTAAGTAACCTCTTTGGTATAACATTGTTAAACAAACATTAACAAATCATAACATATCAGATCATAGAACTAAAAAAAGTACTATTACATAAAAACAGGTGATACAGTACTTCAAAATTAATTTTAACATAATATCAAAACCGAAAAATCAAACTGCAAACACAACCACTCTTATCACAACAGAAATTAACACACACTCCCGCGGCAAATGTCCAAGAAAGACTGATCATTCATTCTGATTGGTCCTGTCCGGTCGTAGCTCACGTCGTATTGTCGGTAAGCAAAATCCCTGTCCAAAAATTTTGACGATCAGCGCCATCATCCGTCATAATTGGGAAACTTTTGCTGGAACCATTTTTAATATTTCACTTACATGGCCCTGGCCGTGCCTTTACCACGGCACCTTTTACCTTATGGTGCGTTTAGACTTGAGCACGCACGAGCTGAGCGTGCGCTCACGGCATTCGTTCGCGTCTCGGCTCCGTTCAAATTAAAAACTTATTTTTCGACGAATAAAGTGATCCATTTGTGCGCGCACAGCAGTGTTGTGTTGGCGAAAATAATGGACGACCAAGAAAGAGTCGAGGCTGCAGTCATTGTTATGCACAGCTTAATTATTAAAAAGAAGAAAAATCGAAAACATCGTCGCTGGTGGCAACCCAAATTTTTAGAAATCGATATATTTACTGCAACAAATTAGTGTCTGAGGAGGGCTATGATCAGTTCAAAAACTTCACAAGAATGACCAGGCTCGACTTTGAATATTTACAAAATTTAATAACACCAAAAATTACGAACAAAAGATACAAATTTTAGAATAGCAATTTCATTAATATCGACATATTCAATATTAATTTTATTTACAAGGTTTTGTCATGCTTTATATTTTTTTTGATTTTTTAATAATACAAAGAATGTTTAACATCCCATAATATAGGCAACTTTTAATATTTTTCAATTAATAATAACGAAGATTCATTGATCCACTCCATAATTTTAATAAAGAAAACGAAAAAAAATCACACACGCACGCACGAACGCAGACAAAACAAATTGCCGGTGCAAATTAAGCGTTCGCGCACACATAAAATCCCTTTGAGCACGGACCAAAAACCGACACCAGACGGCTCACGTTCGCGGCTGCTCGCGCACTGTCAGATTCAGAGTGAGCGTGCGCGCACAGCCGTTTACACTTGAGCATTCGCGGAGGATCAGTGCGTGCGTGCTCAAGTCTAAACGCACCATTATGGTTTGGTTTGGTGCGCACGCACTGATCCTCCGCGAATGTTAAAGTGTAAACGCACGCTCACTCTGAATCTGTCTGTACGCGAGCAGCCGCGAATGTGAGCTGTCTGGTGTCGGTTTTTGGTCCGTGCTCAAAGGGAATTTAAGTGTGCGCGAACGCTCAATTTGGACCGGCAATTTGTTTTGTCTGCGTTCGTGCGTGCGTGTGTGATTTTTTTTCGTTTTCTTTATTAAAATTATGGAGTGGATCAATGAATCTCCGCTATTATTAATTGAAGAATATGAAAAGTTGCCTATATTATGGGATGTTAAACATTCTTTGTATTATTAAAAAATAAAAAAACGCATGGCAAGACTTTGTAAATAAAATTAATATTGAATATGTCGATATTAATGAAATTGCTATTCTAAAATTTGTATCTCTTGTTCGTAATTTTTGGTGGTATTAAATTTTGTAAATATTCAAAGTCGGGCCTGGTCATTCTTGTAAAGTTTTTGAACTGATCATAGCCCTCCTCAGACACTAAGTTGTTGCAGTAAATTATATCGATTTCTAAAAATTTGGGTTTGCCACCAGCGACGACGTTTGCGATTTTTCTCTTTTTTAATAATTAAGCTGTGCAAACAATGACTGCAGCCTCGACTATTTCTTGGTCGTCCATTATTTTCGCCAACACAACTCTGCTGTGCGCGCACAAATGGATCACTTCATTCATCGAAAAATAAGTTTTTAATTTGAACGGAGCCGAGAGCGCGTACGAATGCCGTGCATCAGTAGAAGTGGCATTATTCCATTAAAAAAGAATACAAAATCCAGAGAATAAAACTGGAATAAAACCAAAGAATAACATAAAACCCAAAAATACGCTCAATTAGTGGTGACGTCATGTTGCGGAAGGTCGTGTTGCTGAATCCAATTACTGATTTCTAAGGGATAATTGTGTTTTTCTAAGTTCCAAGTAATTAAATTTAGTCTTGAACCTTATAAATACCCTGTAAATTTTGTATTCTCTGTTTTTGTGTCAACCTTTTGAAATTTAAAATAAAGATAATTATGGAGTAACCCTATACTTTCACCAGAGTATGCAACAGAGCTTTCACCCTTCTTTCACCAAAAAGATGTGTTCGATAGTGATTAAAAAATACTAAATCTTTAATTTGATATTTAATATTAAATACGAATAATAGTTTTAGCTTTGCTGGCAAGCTTTAACAGCTATAAATTGAAGTAAAATGTAAATTGGAGCAAACACCTCTGAATAATCAAATGATATTTGACCTAGCAGCTTTTTACATAAAAGAAATTTAAATACAAAAATCAAGATAAGGAAAGTTGTTGACCAAATCAACCTTAATGCGCAAAATCTAAATGTTGTTTCCATAAACATTCTTATAAAGACAATTATACAAAAATATGCATTGAGAGCATCTCCAGTGAAAAGTGGAAAAAAAATCATCCACCAGTCATTGGTGTATGGCTCCACCTCAGAATCATATTTGAAAACTAACATAATAGTAAATATTAATATACATATTAAATTAACCCATATCTCAAACACAGTAAGTCCAAGCCACTTAACCATTTCATGAAGAGTAAAGAACATTTTTCTTTTCTAAACGAATGCTTTATTAATAATTGCTTTATGCTTGTAGTAAATCCCTTTTAAAAACTTGAATTCTTAAAGCTGAATTATATCTTCGCTGAATTTCATAATCAGCATTATCAACTGTTGGTTCTAAATCATCTAAAAATTAAGATTTATTTACAAAACTACTATTAGGTTTGTTTAATTTATGATATATGTATTATACCTATTAAAACAGTTGAAAAAGTTTTGGCATCAAGTTCATAGGAGATAAATTTTTCAGAAATCTGGAGAGCTAACAATATTCCCCTCTGTACTGCAGCTCCTAAACAATAAATAATGATATTTTTCTCGTCATTTCTGACCAATTTTAAACATTGTTCTTCAAGTGCCTGAAAGTATTGACACAATTTAGTTTTACTTATTTATTTATTAAGTCATCATTTAATAGTAACTCAAGTATACCACTACCTTATTACTTGTTGTATTGCTCACATATATTATGTTTTTACCAACTTCTGGTTTTTCAAGACGGCGTTTACAAAATGTTTGATTTTCTTTTGTCTCTTTTATGTTTTTGGGCCGTCGACTATTAATCTGATGTTTATTTCTTAAACTTTCAGCCATTGCATTGCATCGGGCATTAATGCGATGCGAGACTCAGGTAAAGGGGTCGGGTAAAGATAGTTAAAGGTTAAAGCGGGTCTGGTCCACTTTAGGTATATCGCCAATCTTGAAGTTATTGATGTAAATTTGATATTAATATGTTCTACAATTAATATTTTAACGTTTTAAGTACGGATCGTCGGCTAAATGTTCGAGATCACTTCACTATTGATACTTAAAATATTATTTTTAGGTTAAATTTAGGATAAGTTTTCAATGTGTGCGATAATTATGACAGATGAGAGAGAATGTGTTTTACTGGTTGTATTATTTTCGTTTAACTTTTAAAGCAACGTTGCCAATGCTAAATCGGATATTGTTTTATTTATGCTTTCCTATTAATTTTGAAAAATAGCGGTAGCAATATTAAGCTGATAAGAATATATATTATACTTTGGGTAAAGGCAAAGAGTAGATAAGACAAGAGACGACAGTGAACAAAGAAGTCGAATTTCGCGAGAGAGATGCAGATATATTAAAATTTAAAGGTCCCATCAAGTCCCATTTTGTCTGTTGCCAAGTATATTTCTTTGAAAAATAAACAAGATTTTCTGAAAATAAATTAATAATATAAGAAGGATATAAAGTAACGTATGTTAATACGGAAATGTAAATTTTTAGTTTAGGTTGGTTTAGGTTCTTTTTTCGCAATACTGATAATATCAAAGAAACAGAATGACTAAAGTTGGTCGATTTCAAAGATAAACAGATAAATCTGAAAATCTGACAACTGCGCATTTTATTTATTCGAACCTAAGATTTTAGGACGCTAATCAGCTGTGCTAATCAGGCTTAAACATAAACAAATCTGATTAGTTGTTTTCTTGCATTTTTGCCTTTTTAAAGTGTGTTTTCAGAGTTTTTCGATATATTATCGTTTTGAGAGTTTTTAAGGTTTAATTTTAGTATCGTTTTTATTGCGTTCTAATTTGTAATTATTGTTAAATATGAATACTGAACAGGACACGAGTAGCAGGAAAAGACGAGATGGTGGCATTGTGTGTGCTTATAAAGACTGCAAAAATAGGTCTTGTTCTTCGACAAACATAATATTTCACTCTTTTCCAAAGGATCCTGAAAAGTATTTTTATAGAAATATACTATATAATTATGTTATTAAACTAAATGTAATCCATAGATCGAAGACATGGTTAGAAGCTTGTAATTGCGAGGATTTATTAAATAAAAATTGAGCAACTCTATTTTTTTGTACATAAACTCCACATTGTGATATTACACTTGTTCAAGTCCATATGTAAAAAAAATACACGTAAATAAAACATTTCTTACAAATCGACTTGGTCACTTTCTCTTGTTTACCAACGATATACAAAATATTGCTTTTATTATCTTTATTCCCCGACAAATATGTTTCTAATTATAATTTATTTTATATAATATTTAGAAAACTCATTTTTTTTTTCGTTTCTATTTATCTCTTTACCCACACAGTAACTATTTATAAGCTATACAGGCAAATTTTAATAATAGTCTATTTCAAATTTCCCGCGAAAAAGTTACGAAAATTTAAAGGGACAAGCGAGACGAGGTCACTCTCCCCACCACTCAAACATGAAAGGTACCGCGCGAACTGTCGTCTCTTGTCTTATCTACTCTTTGGTAAAGGTGTGGATCCGGTGGCTGACCTTGAAGGCCATATTTGCAGCATTTGATCATCGATACTACGCAAGCGCACATCGTCGATGTTGCCAAATTGCAGTTTATTTTCGAATTATTTGCAGTTAAATTTTTTTTTTGAGTGTTAATCAATAATAATACAAATTCTCTAATTAATTTTATAATTTCAGATTTATCTTGATATCCAAAATTAAGGTAAGAAGGATAATGAAGATTTTGAAATGAAAGTATTATGAATATATAAAATTGTACGTAATAATAACAGAGATATGGAAGTGGTTGAATAATAATAATATTTATTTATATATTTACATTAGAATTAAAAATTATCATTTACGGATTTTTTCTTAATGGTTTTAAACTTATTAGAATTATTTTATTTCTTTCAAGTTATTTAATTTCTAGTTATTTACAGGCAACAATAGTTTTCATTATATTATGTATATTGATGTTTTGAAATATTACCATGACGAGTCTTATAGAACAATACACGTCAATGGGAGATAGAGGTAACATATTTTACCTATAATGTTACTAATATAATATACTTTGATTGTAATGTTTGTATCATATAATTTCTTAAAAATATCAAGTTAGTGGATTAATAGCAATTTTAGACATATATTTTATCGAAGAGTGTTGATAAGACTAAAATAAGCTTTATGTTTTATCTTTTTCTCTTTAGAAGGGAGATGGTTTGTATCGTAGAATACATTACAGTATTTAATATCGTGTACTTTGATATTCTTTTCTTAATTTACTGCAATTTCTTGTTTCCTATAATGCCAAATCTTGACAATATGGTGAAGGTTGAGTTTTGATCTTATTAGTTTTATACCTGTGTTTATACAAGACCAAATTAAGACTTAGTTTGTGATTTATATTAAGATCTTTCTTATAATATTTATTATGTCTTAATCTTATGCTTTGTCTGGAAAATAAATGTTAAAATATCTTAATTTTGCATATCCTATTCCATCCTTCCATTAGGAAAAATATGGTTTATAAATCATATTATAGCTAAGAAAATCACATAAATTAGGTGTAAGAATAGAGAAATCTTAAAGTAGCAGAAAAATTATGAACATGACATGGAGCTACAGCATTTAAAAATTAAAAAAAAGGAAGAACTTGGACATATAATTTCCCGAATTTTTAATAAAGCCCTTTTTAAACGTAGCATAATAATCTAGAGTAATTAGATTAATTATAGGAATCGAGAGTTTTATTTCTATTTAATTTTATTGACTATGAAAATACATAATAAGCGTTCACGTGTTGTGCGAAATATTAAAATAATATATAAATTCTTGATAAATAATATACCGCGTACTATGATTGAAAAAAAAATAGCGTCAGCGATGACTATGAAATGAAGATCGCTGTCATTTTATATGGGAAATGTCCTCAATCGTCATTTCCCAGCCAACTGGACGCCGTTTTTTTTTCGATCATACGGTATATATTGACAAAAAACACTGAAAAGCACATATTTGTTTTCTACTGAAAATAATTCCAAAATAACTTACAATCTGGCAACATCGAAGATGTGCGCATGCGTAGTGTCTGTGGCTATATGCAGCAGAAACTCGTTTCAAGGTCAGCCACCGGATCCACACCATTACCAAAGCAACCAAAGCTTGTTTTTAAAAAGTTTTTTTTCTTAAATTTATTTTTTACTTTTTAAGTTATGCTGATTTCTCAGTGCCATACACTTAAACTCAATTCTTTTTCTTAAATAACTACCTATGGGCATCCTAATAATATGTGTATCGATTTTCATAAAAAAGGAGAACTTAAAAAAACGACAGCTGTCAAATTTGACAGTTCAAATGTGAGACAAATAAAATGAAAACCGACTATGGGGTAGGGAGCATCCAATATATCGATTTTTATCAAAATCGGACAACTTTGAGATTTTTTTGACAGCTGTCAAATTTGACAGCTCAATTTTTTTTCTTTCCTTTTAACCCATGGCCATCCTATATATAGATTTTTATCAAAATCGGACAACATTGAAATTTTTTTGACAGCTGTTAAATTTGACAGCTCAATTTTTTTTTCTTTCATTTTAGCCCATGGCCATCCTATATATCGATTTTTATCAAAATCGGACAACTTTGAAATTTTTTTGACAGCTGTCAAATTTGACGGCTCAATTTTTTTTTTGACGGCTTGGCTTTTAAAAATATAGCCAAACATTTATATTTAAATTCATCAGTTACTTTTCTTCCTTTAGCTGATTTGTTAATTTGTGCAATTTGAATATTAACAAAATTTGCTATGTCCATTGATGGACATAATTTGTACGTAGCCTCTTTAGATTGTTCAATAGATAATTTATTGGGTATTTCTTTAATTCTTGTTTGTAACTCCTGGCCAGGGTTCGGAAGTAGTTAAGACGTAATTTACTTGATTAACTACGTGTAGTTTTTCTTCAAAAACTACGTATTTTCCTGTTCATTAACTACATGAAAACTACGTTAATAAACTATGTATTGAAATTATGAATAATTTCCCTTTGTATGAGGTGTAATAGAGATAATATGATGTAAATATTATATTTAAAGTCATATTTCTTCTGTTTTCTTAAATACATTATGTGTTTTTAAAGCTTCAACTTATTATTACCTCACCTTAAACCTTTGATATTTGAAAGTTACATACATAGGTTACATAAACTACATCCTCTACATAAACTACATTAACTACATGTAATGTAGTTTATGTAGTTTTTAAAAGTAACAAGTAGTTTTCCGCACCCTGCTCCTGGCATGTTTTTTAATTTTAATTGTCTATTCTCTAAAGTTAAATGTTTAATTGATTTTTTCATTTTTACTTTTTGAGGAGTATGCGCGGTTAACGATTCATTTGTTTAGATAAAAGTATTGTGTAAATAAAATTCAGTTTCAGTCAATTTCAATTACAGTATTTTTTTAATACGACCCTGTCTAGCAATAGTTTATTTTCTGGAAAATTTTTTGATACGTTTTAATCCGGCCCTGACTCGGCACCCATAATGGTGTTTTCAAGGTCAAATTTTATAGAAATTTTAAACAATGCTTTGAATAAGAAGACTTTATGGTGGGTTCATACAGCCAAATAAAATAAAATAAGAATAAAATAAAATAAAATAAGAAAGTTGGTTATATGGGATACCGTACATGCGTTCATACAGCCAAATAAAATAACAAATAAAATAAGAAGTCTTTATCTTTTAACTTCTTGTTTTATTTTACGTGAAAACGGCTTTGCGCAAGCTTAATTCTAACCTACAAATATTTTCAGTTTGGATTTAATTTATTTTATAATTTCACATAAGTAATATTTATAATATAGTAGGCAACGAATAAATAAATATACTATAAATAGTAAAATTACTATAAACAATCGTAAAAGTTAACTTTTATCCAGCCTCATCGTACTGCGCATGAGCAAATATATATTTCTTCTTTTATTTTATTTGACTGTATGAACGCACACAAATAAGAATTCCTTATTTCTTATTTTATTTTATTCTTATTTTATTTTATTTGGCTGTATGAACCCACCATAAGGAAGGAGCAATAAGGATATTCGACTGGCCCAAAACGTGCCGTATTTGTC